CTGCCTCTTGACTTTGGATCTTCAGCCTGCAGAACATTGAGAAGACACATCTTTACTATCTGAGCCAATGAGACCAAGGAGATGTGTCTCCCTATGACAGTCCCTGAAAAGCGACTGAGGCATGACAGGAAGGTGTGCCTGTCCTTGACACCTCTCTCTCCCTCTTGTTTTCTCTATCCCCTTTTCCTGGCTTCCTGAGGTGAGCAGCTCTGCCATGCCACAGAAGCCCTGTCATGGGGTGCCACGGTCTTTGGCACACAGACCCCAGCCAAGGTGCCATGTCTGTGGCATGAAACCAAGAATCAAGATCAGTCTTTTACCCATAAGGTGCTGTGTGGAGGTGTTTGCTCACAGTGGTGGGAAGCTGATGAGCACACCTGCACTTTGTTAAAGACAGCTGTTCCTCCTAGGTGTGCAAGACAGTCAGCTGCTTTCCATTTCAATAATCTCAATGTGTCTGGTGCTGCCACCTGCTGGCCTACTTTGAATTACAAGTCATTTGTCTCTTCAGGGAAAGTTTTGTTGTAGCACATACTTGTTTCTCTTTAATGGGCTCCATGCTTTTGCCTTAGCTTTTGCTAATCCCACTGTAAAAATAAGAATTATTTTTGCATACTGAATTATTTTCATCATTTTCAGTTTACTCTGTGAAATTTCCCCCTGATCTCAGATCCATAGATAATACTTGAAATATCATCTCCACATATTATGAATCAATCCCTTTGTGGAAACATAATGAGAGTAGGGATAATAGTGGCTATAAGAGGGTCCTGTTGTCTGTTGTCAGCTGTCCATGATCACCATCACCTTGGGGAGCACAGATCACAGAATCCATTTTTCTATTATGTGTTCCTATACAATTGCTCAACTGGGGCACTTGTATGATTCAGACACCAAAGTGAATAATTCTACACCCACAAGCACCTATTGTCAAAGACATAGACAGAGGAGATATCAGTGGAATCACCAGGTGAAGAGGTACAGGAGACTGAGAGGACCATCTGCAGTTTGGACCTCTCTGGAAGACTCTGAGAATACAAAATTAGGCAGTCTTTGTGTGTGTGTGTGTGTGTGTGTGTGTGTGCCAGGAGTGAACTCAGGAACACTCAACCACTGAGCCACATCCCCAGCCCTATTTTTGTATTTTATTTAGAGACAGGGTCTCACTGATATGCTTAGCACCTTGCTTTTTCTTGAGGCTGCTTTGAACACACAATCCTCCTGCCTCAGCCTCCCAAGCCAGCCACTGGGATTACAAGCATGTGCTACCGTGCCCAGCCCAAATTAGGCAGTTTTTATAGACAGAGGAGATATCAGCAGAATGACCAGGTTATGAGGTATAGGAGGCTAAGAGAATGACCTCCAGTCTGGAGTTCCCTAAAGCACTCTGAGAATACAGAATTAGGCAGTCTTTACCTACACTGACAGATGAGTTCAGGATTATGGGGAGAAACAGAGAATCCCCAATTTCTAAGACCAATATCCCTAACAACCAGACCTGCTAATACAATTAATGTCTGTAGTGGGAACTTCAATCCCTGTATTAAAGCCAGTTCTGCTTTGAGTATCTGTTAGCTGTATAAATTGCATGTGATACCACTATGTGGACTCCCAACCTTCACTACTCTGTGTCATTTAGGAAATAAGGGGAGAAACACTCTTGTTTTCTCCAATGGAGCTGAGGGGAAGGAAAGATGGTGAATACACAAAGAGCTACCCTCTCCCCTTCCAGACAATGTGCTTCAGAGCCTGGCTGCCTCTGAGCAGTGCCCTCAGCAGGTGGAGGCAGCAGAAGGAGCAGCTGGGGTATCCTAGCCTTACATTTTTCAGGGACGTTGATGTCATGGCCTGTGTCACTTTGGGCAGCAAACTGCTGATGACAGTAATAAGTGGCAACATCTTCAGGCTCCAAGCTGCTAATGCTGGATGTTAAATCTGTTTTGGATCCTCTGCCCCTGACCCTGGATGGGACCTCATATTGGAAAATGTCTCCAGAATACATCAGGAAATTGGAGCATTCCCTGTTTCCTGTTGATATCAGTGTCAATAACTAAGGCTCTGACTTGCCTGGTGGGACATTGTGATTCGGTCTCCTTAAGCTGTAGACCTGGATTGTGATTATCTATATCCATATTTGTTGTTCCTTGGATTTACAGACTATAGATCCTCCTCTGTATTCTTTAGTAATCAGATCAATGTCTTCAGTAAGAGAAGTCCCCTCTATGCCAAAATTCCTCATTGACACCATTGGATCTACAATTGTTTACCTCCATTTATGGAGAATTCCTACTAAATTCTTCTTCCATTTATGAAGACTGTGTCATCTGGATGTCACATCTGGCATCTGAGATTGAAAACATAAAAACCAATATCCTCATGCTGAACCTTGTTATGAGAGAATGTGTTTATAGACCAAGTACACCGGACCACACTGTGCTGGGTAAATCCCCAAGTGTTGAAACTTCCTGCTTGTTGAGGGCCACAGCCAAGTTGGGATGATGCATGGCATTTTTGCCAGAAGTAGTGGTTGAGAGGTGACGCCAGCGAGCCATTAATATGATGACTTTTGAGTTCTCATGGAGTTCCCGTTGAGTTCCAGTTGAGCTCTTGCGGGGATTCCTGAAGAGTTCTCATTGGTTGGGGACGTGCTGGAGGAGGGATTCCGTGTGGTGTGTTCCTGGAGGAGCCGCATGGGTGGCGTTTGGAAGAGTTCCCGGGGAGCATGTGTGGAGTGTGCTGGTAGAGTTCAGAAATAAAGGTTTTTCCTGCTTCAGTGGCTTGTGATTTGTGCCCAGCCAGACTGCGGCACCTGCTTTAAAATAAAAGTAGCAGGGTCCACAGGAGTCATATGGACACCCTTATGTCCATGCAATGTCCTGACTGAAACTGGCTTCTTCACAGACTGTGACCACACAAAGAAGAAGTCCTCAGGGAGTGGGTCTGTACTCTGGGCACATGCAATTCCGCAGGGCTTGGCAGGGCTTGGCACAGATGCTGGACTAGCTCTTCTCACTCATTCAGCAGAAATTCAGTGTCTGCCCATTTCCCAGGGTATCACATATTTCTCACAGAGTATTTTCTATTTTTTTTTTTGGGGGGGGCAAAAAACAGCCTCAGTCTTGCCCCCTCTGCATGGCCTGTAGGTTCCATCTCCTCTAGCTTCAGCACATTCTGAGCTTGCTAGATTCCATCTATGACAGGAACTGTTCATTAGGACACAATTCCACCATATGCATGAGTGTTCTAGCTCCTTTTCTTGGTACCCATGCATATCACTGAGGTCAGGGCAGCTTCCTCTTTACTCTGATTCCCTGAAACTGTGGTTCATACAGGGAAGCAATAGGAAAACATGGGGAGCCACAATCTATTTTGAAGAGTGTCACCTACCTGACTCAGCTATCATGTACAGCTAAGCATCTTTCTTCCTCATCTCTGAAGGCTTGGTCCCACTGCTTCCACCAAGACCATCCAAGATCAGGGATTTCTCCCTTCCCATCTGAGCACTATGAGCTTCTGTCCTAGCTGCTCATGATTACACATATCCATGCCTGCTGCCCCTGGATGCTCAGGTTCATGCTTCTACTCACTATAGTCCCATAACTCCAGTCACTATCTTCAGAGATGGAGGTCCTTCCTCTCCCAAGTGCTCGTTGATGCCCTTGAATGTCCTGTGATTACTAAGTGTGCATTTCTGTCATCACCAAGTATCTAGTAGTTCCTTAAAGAACTCAATTCTAATGGCTGTTTTAGGTCTGCAGGACTCAAGCACGGTGAGGGAGAAACATGTGTGAGTGCAGTCTCATTTGTCCTGAGGGTGCCACTAATTGGGGTTAGTTGTGCCTTTGACTCACTGTGGGCACCCAAGAAAGAGGAAAGGGCAGAGTACTCAGAGGGATGAGGTTCCTATATAAGGATCAGAGTCCAGGCATGGTTATGGGGACAATCTATGGGGTATAAAGTTGGAGATGGCCAATTAGTGGTCAGAGTGCTGCAGGTGTGTGGGTGTGTTGGGAGGAGTGGGGACAACCTGCAGAACCCACATTTCCCTTCAATCCCTGCTGAACTCTTTTTCACTTGCTTACCTGCTTCTTTATCACTTTACCATGCCTAAATCCAGGGGCCCTGAGGGCAGCCATTAATAACTCTGCTCCATTCTGAACTAGGAGATGAACAAGATTAGAATATGCAGTTTTTAGGAACTTTGTAGATTCAAGGGTGTCAATGAGGAGCATTGAAGAGAGGGAACCTCCCCTTCTGAAGACTTTGATTTGATTACTATATAATACAGAGGAGGAGCTGTAATCTGTGAATCCAAGGAAGATTACATGTGGATATAGATATAATCACAAGCAGAGACAAGAAGTTCACTCTTATTCCTCTGGTGGACAGAGACACTTCCTGACCTTGGATGCCTTGGATGTATGTAGAAGGACACAGCATTCATGGACAATCTCTTGCTTAGCTGGAGATGAGAAGCAGAGTAAGTGAGGCCAGATCCTGCTCATTCTTATAAATTGTGACCCTCCCCCATATTTACTTTGATTTTCTCATTCATAGAAAGGGCACAAGGGAAATGGACCAAAGAGGAGCTGGTCTCATCTCACTAATATCTGTGGGGGCTCAAGCAACCCTCATTTAACTTAATTGCAGTTAATGGATTTCTGTCCTGACTGACAGACCCTGTCAGGATGAAATGGAGACCACGAAAGCACATGGCCACCTTCCAGAGATCAAGTAATACTCTACACTCAGGGCACAAGGAGGATGCTGTCATTTGTCACCCAAAACACATTATCCACTGCCAAGTCCATGGTGATCTGTTTATTCTAGAGACACTTGGGCACCCTAGACCTGTGCTGAGTGACTGGCAGGAGCCCGCCCTGCAGCTGTGCCCAGCCCTGCCCAGCTCTCCTGATTTGCATGTGCCCACAGCACAGCCCACTGCCCTGAGGACTTCTTAATATGCTGGTCACATCTTGTGAAGGAGTCAGTCTGAGACAGGACACAGCATGGCCATGAGGGCCCCTGCAAAGCTCCTGGTGCTCCTGCTCCTCTGGCTCCCAGGTAAGGAGGGACAGCACTGAGGAGTTAATCAGCCTACTGTTTTTAGGGTTGCTGGCCAAACAAAGAAGTGCCTTTTAATATGAATAATTTTTGTTTGTTCATATGTTTTCAATGTTAGGTGTGAGATGTGACATCCAGATGACACAGCCTACCTCCTCCTTGTCTGCATCTCTAGGAGACAGAGTCACCATCACCTGCAGGGCCAGTCAGAGCATTGGCATAGGTTTAGCCTGGTACCAACAGAAACCAGGGCAAGCTCCTAAACTCCTCATCTATCATGCAAACATTTTGGAATCTGGGGTTCCCTCGAGGTTCAGTGGCAGTGGATCTGGCACAGATTTCACTCTCACCATCAGCAGCCTGGAGCCTGAAGATTTTGCCACTTATTACTGTCAGCAGTATAATGGTTCCCCTCCCACAGTAAGACAGGCCATGACAAAAACCTCCCAGGGAGCAGAAGTGGGAGGCTGGGCTGCCCCAGCTGCTCCTCCTGCTGCCTCCACCTGCTGAGGGCACTGCCCAGAGGCACCAGGCTCTGAGGGTCACTGGGAGATTTTGGTAGAAAGAGCCAAAGAGGATCCTCTGTACCCCCGCTAGTTGTTCCTCCTCAGCCCAAGAGAAACAGACATGATTATGCTCCCCTGAAATCAATGAAAGCCTTTGTTAGACATGGGGAATTTGGTTATGGTTTCCATTGGATTCATACATCAACACACAAGCCCCTAATGGCGTTCCAATTGGGAATTTTCTAGGTGAGAAAACAGACATCTAATCCTCCCTGTAATGTCCTGGGGTATGAGAGTCAGAGAAGCTGACACAAGAAAGAGGAATCCTTGCTGCTCACCCAGAATCCATAGAGAATATTCTACTGAAATTAAAGAGTGCTCAACCCTGGGGTCCTCAGAGCTGTGCAGAATTCCTGAGGTTGTGCTCTGAAGCTGCCCATGGACTCTAGTACTCACGAGGTGATTCTCCCCTTCCCCTGCCTCCATGTGTCACCTGCAGGAGACAATGAATTATGCACTTTTATGACTTCCCAATGTCAAGGAATTGCCTTCACTGAGACATTCTATAGGAAATCAATAAACACCCATATTCTGATCCTGAAATTCTAAGAATATTACCTTACATCAACAAAGGGAGGTGGGATTATGATAAAGATTCAGGACTTGGAGATTTTCCTGAATATCCTGCAGGAGAGCAATATAATCACTAGGGCCCTTAGAGTGGGAAGGAGTGACAGTCACAGTCAGGGGATGGGACAATGTTGAGAGATCTTGAGAGACAGAGGGAGGAGACAGGAGAAGGAAGTGAGAAAACCTAGGAGCTGGAAAGCCTGGAGCTGAATTCTGTCCTCAGGAGCCTGCAGAAGGCACCCAGCCCTCGTGCCCTGGTTTCAGCTCAGTGGGAATCTGAGCTCCAGGACCCTGAGATAACCAGCCTGGGCTGCTCTAAGCCCAGAAGGTGATGGTGGTCTTTGGAGGCAGCAGTAGGGACTGATGTGAGGGAAGGGACAGAGACACCCTGGCAGTGGCCATCCACTGCCCCACTAAACATTGTCACATTCCTGTCATTTGGTTTCTACATTGACATAAGGCAGAAAACCTTTATTCTAAGAATGGATCTTTCCAGAGCTATTCTGAAGTAGAAATACCTAGATAATTCTCCCTCACATGGGGTCTATTCACAGCACCCGAGGAGAGAGGAGGGTTTTGCTTGCTCTGTGCTCATTGGTCTCCATGTCTGGGGTACAGATTAGATTCACAGGGGAGAGTTAGATGGGAGGACTGAGTCATAAATGGGGGCAGAGGGCAGGAGGGAGGGTCAGGGCAGTGCAAGGCACACCCCTCTCCACATCTGGAATGAAGGTAGGTAGGGCAGGGAGGGCTACAGGGCTGTGTTTTGCAGAAGAACCTGCAGAGGCCTGAGTTTCAGGTGAGGTCAGCAGCTAGTGTGCACATGCAGCAGGAACTGAGATTCCCCGCCCTCAGTTTGGATCCTCTCCTTCCACCGCAGAGGCTATGCTGCACCTTTGGGAAGACTGTGGCCATGTGGAAGAAATGTATCTAAATTCAAACAGACCTGGCTTCAGAGCCAGCCACAGCCCATATAACTTTTAACTGTAAAGTCAAAATTTAATGTAAAATAATTAATGTTTTCTCCATGTTGCTCAATTTACTACAAAATTTCAAGAAGGACTAGAGAGTTTATTTTCATTTTTATGCTCATAACTAATCCCTCCTGGGAAATTGACATAACACACATTAATGGGTCCAGGAAAATCAGAGCCTCTTTGTCTTTGAAAACCAGAATAATTTCCCTAATAGAAATGATGCCTACTGGTTCTGTTTCTTTGGAAAACCTTAAGGCAGGAGGCTTTCTCTGGCCCCATTGTGGACACTCCACTCACCCTAAGTGGCCATTCCTATCACTGCGCTGGCACAGCCTATATTCATGCCTCTATTGCAATGCTGATATCTGCCACTCACTAGGTTGTGAGAAGACACCAGGTTTAACTTGTTTTGTATCCCCGTAATCTAGCAAATGTCTGGCACACAAGTAGGTACCTGATAAATATTCGTGGAATAAAAGCAGTACCAGAGCCTGAAGTTGAAACAGTCTTCTTCCTTCCCTGGACTGCAGTACCCTGTATCCAGGAGGATCTGTGGCTCCGCATGCCATTACACTTCCAACCATTCCTCACAAATGTGCAGCTCTCAGCCTCTTCCCATGTAGTTGAATGATGTCCTGTGGCCAGATCATCAGTTATGACAGACAAAGAAACCAGCTGACAAATTGACTTTCAAGAGCCCTGCCTTCTCAAAGGACAAGGTCTCAGGTTTGAGAAAATCTAATTACTTTCTTGAAGCTGTTGATTTCTCTTGATCTCTGCATTCATGGGACCAGTGTCTTTCATCTCCAAGAGAAGGGCCAGTAGAGTCAGATGATAGCTCCGGTCAATTCCACATGCTCAGATTTAGATTCTCAATGGGTTCTAAGACCACCTCTCCATGTGTTGAAGGCTGAATCTGAATAAACCATGATTAAAAGTTTGAAATTCTTTACTAATTTACATCCTATATTGATAAAAATGTAACAATTAGTTATATTCTATCTTAAATTATTTTCAATATCATTTTTACTATTGATATTCTCCAACCCCATTGCAAGCACTCTGAATCCAAGTAAAATGTATCTTGCACACCACTTTGCCTAGTGATAATGACTTACTAGGCACTCAATAAATACTTGTAAGTTTATCATTATGCTTGGCCCATCTAATCTGGTGAGTTTATATATGTCCACAAACCCCTAAAAGCATCTCCAAATACTATTCTATAAAACTCTAGAACATCAGCTGATTTTCTAGTTAGCCTAATTCTGCCTTATTCATAAAAAATTATAAAATTTACATTTTATAACCTTTACACTTTTTCCATTAGCATGATAGACTGTTACATTGTTGCACCCCAATGAATTGCACCTCTCAGAATTCATGCCCTTGTGTTATTGCTTCTTACACTGAGGCTGGGCTGGGTCATGTGACTTGCTTCAGCAAGTGGGACATCAGCAGGCATGATCATCTGCTCATCAAGCAGAGTGTAGTAAGCTGTTTCTCTTTTGAACACAGATTCTAAGGTGCAAGAAAGTCCAACCGTGTGAGATGCACAAAATATGTGAAGTAAAGACTCCCCAAATGTCACGGTTCCATTGAATGCCTTAGAGGGCAGTACCTAAGAGAGACCTCAGAAAAGACCAGCAGAAGAACTGCCCAGCTGATCTCAGCCCAGATTGCTGAATTCAGATAAAACAAATGACGTTTTTTAAGCCACTGGGTTTGGTATAACAGTAGACAACCAAAACTCCCAAAATCTTGTTTCAGCTTCCTAACCATCATTGTGAATTAATAAATGCCCCCTAATATTTGTAGGTCCCATATTTAAGTACCTTGAGTTATAAAACATTAGAAGTGGAGATACTTTTCCTGATTTTGGGGGAAAATATTTTGCTTCTAGACATTTCAAGGATATTGAGACTTTAGAATTTGACTTTTGAATGTAGAACTTTTTTCTAGGTGATGCCTTTAAAAAGATAATTAAGTTAATCTCTCATTATTATTATTATTTTTTCTTTTTCTTTTCTGGCTTTTGCTCTGGGGTAAGTATCTAGGGAAAAGTAAAATCTGATCCTTTGAGTCTCATGCCCTGTTTTATGCTCTTGCCAAAATGTTCCATTAACTTCATTCCAAGTTTAAAAACAAAAAATATGTTCTTTTTTTAAATTTTTTATTGTTGGTTGTTCAAAACATTACATAGTTCTTGATATATCATATTTCACACTTTGATTCAAGTGGGTTATGAACTCCCTAAGTTGGAGAATCAGGAAGGCAGGTGTGTAATTCAGTCCAAGTCTGAAGGTCTGAGAACCAGAGGATCTAATTGTGTGACTCTCAGTTCAAGGTGGAGGCCCCAGAATGGGGCAGGAGTGTGGTGATGGGGAGGTGCTGGTGTAAATAAATCCCAGAATCTGGATTCTGGAGGATTAGGAGCTCTGCTGTCTGCAGGTTGATAAAGATGGATGTCCTAGCTCAAGGCATCTTTGTTCTGTCCTGGCCCTGGATGTGGCAGAGGAGGACTGCCCCCATCAGTGAGGGTGTATCTTCTTTTCTCAGCTACTGATTGAAATGAAATTCTTTTTTGAAAACACTCTCACAGACATGCCCACAAATGAAATTTTACTAACTATCTGAGTTCCTCTGACTCTAGTCAAATTGACACCCAAAGTTAACCATCAAACCTGTCAAACATGGCAATTCCTAAATTAGATTTTGAAGAATACATTGGAGTGATACATGGGGGTAAGTGGAGAAGGGCACTCTCAGCAGAAGGTAGGACTATGTGGAAGGTCATGGAGACATATTGTGGAATGGGGGACATTTAGAAAAGCCTGGAGAAGAGGGTACAAGGTGGGCAAGTGCAGGGGCAGAAAAGAAAGCCAAGGTCAACTGAGCCTACCAAGGATTTCAAACTTTATCTCCTATGTGATGAGAAACATATAATGGTATCAAGCCGACTAGAGACATGAGCACGTTGTTTGTTCGTTCTGCTGGACAGCAGGGATAGCACTTTCAATAAGGATGAAAATGTTCTATCATTTTTTTTTCTATTGAGTATGAGAAGCCATAACCACAGGAGTACTTGAAATGTGATCAGATAAATTCAACTTTAAACTTAAGTGTAGATATCCAGATGTGCCTCTTCTCTGACATATTGGGTAAGATGGCTCTAGAAAAATCTCAGTGGTGGCAGTGGGGAGTGTGAATTGGATGAAGGCAAGAAGGAGGGAGAAGACCTTGTAACAGTTCAGGTGTGAAATAATTTGGTATTGAACTAATTTACCATGAGGATGAAGTTGTGCCTGACTTGAGGATTACTTAAGAAATAAACTGGGGGCAGGCGTTGTAGCTCAGCATTAGAGTGTTCGCCTTGCATCTGCGAGATCCTGGGTTTGCTTCTTAGCACCACATAAAAATAAATAAGTGAAGTAAAGGTATTGTGTCCAACTACAACTAAAAAATAAATATTAAAAAAAGAAATGATGCCAATGAGAAAATTTAATAAACAGGCTTTTATTACTTAACTTTCTCCT